ATGACACCTTTCTGTCCTCATATGACTGCAAATCAATCGTCAAACTGAAAAGACGAGATAGGCTATCCAAATGTTGGCTGAGTTTCTCTCTCTCTTCTTTGTAAACAGCAAGAACGTCAACCTCAACAGTGTCTTGTGAATAGAATTCAAACTTTGGCTGCAAATTGCTAACAAAAATTTCAAAAAACTCATGTTCTACAATATTCAGTGGATATCCATGCTTAATAATCATTCTTGCAATGTCCATATGACTCCTTTCTTGGTTAAATGTGCAATTGCAGCCAACCACACTAGATGTTACATTACTTCTTCCAACAAATGGTGACAGCTGCTGTTCTGTATCTCTCTGCCTATCTCTGAAACATTTTCTCATATGTTTATGCAGATTGGAAGTCCCCTTCTTACTTTCTCCAGGATACTTCTTGTTACAAACTTTACATATAGCCCATACTGCATCATTTTCTCGAACTTTATCGAAGGCTGTCCAGACTTCTGATATCCTTCTTCGTTTCACAGTGCCATTGGTCAGTGGGGAATCATTCACCATTCCCAACTGATTGTCAACATCTAGAGCAGGTTCAACTGCACCATTCTGATCTCCAACTTCCTATAAGGAAATAGCCAATCAACAGTGCATTTTTGAAGCCCATCAAACACAACAGAAAATACGGAAATGCACAAGATATTCCTAACAGCCAGGCAGAATTATCATCCCATCTAAGATATACAGAGGTGTGGGCAATGGACCAACAAAATCAAGATTTACATATCAAGGAGGTCCCTATCTCCATTTTACCCAGCATGATTATCACAATCGGAGTTTTTACATCCATAATGGCGGGAAAATTAAGCTAATGAACTAACTTGTGTACATCAAACATTTTCAACTGCTCATAACAAGTTTAACAATCAGAGAAAGTGTATACACACAGCAAAGCAATTGGTATGCAGAAACATATATCAAGTGAAAGGTCAACTAAACCCCAGGATCCATATAAAAGTCTCAATCTCTTTAAAATCACTCAACATTCATCACCAAGAAAGAATAGTAAACAACAATTCCACAATTAAAAGAAGCACACCTGTTCAGAATGCCGTAAAGAAGCCTCAGAAATAGCTACTTGCCGAACACCATTCCATTCGGAAAATGAAACTTCACTGGAATTCTCATAGTTTCTCTCCAGACTCATTTGATTCAAATTCAAACCGCCAAACAAATCGCCAAACCGAGGGACCGGGTGGACACTATACTCATGTGCTCTAAGCGTCTTCGAATTCTCACAACTCTTCCTCAAATTACCTAAAATCCCATCCATCAATGTCTTCTCTTCTGAACCCTCTACGTTTGTAGGAAGAAAAAACTCCACCACATAATCGACACTACTTCTATACTCCCCCTTTATCATTAGCTTTATAGCTAAAGCAGCACGAAGCCCAAAATTCTTTGCATCATTCACAAATGGATAATCAGTAACATCAAGCAAACAAACATTAGGGACTGAGTAATGATGCATCAATTTAAGCGCTTTTCCAGCAACATATTGACCTTCTTCAAGATTCTTCCCTGTACATGCCTTGACAAACCCTTGCATCCCTAAATCATTCGCATAACAAGCAATATCTAAAATGAATAAGGTTCTTTTGCTATTATTAAGGGAATTTGGAGAAACCCATGTTAGAGCTAGTGGTAACTTATGTCTATGACATGTTTCTTCTAGGATGTCTAGTATTTCAGCTCTCACAGCTTCCTGATTCATTTTAGTAAAGCAAACCCTGTAAACAAGACAAAATAAATAAAGGGTTTCTTGAAATTAAGATTTGTATCAAAATTATCGTAAGAGAGAAGTAATTAATACTGACCTTGGAGAAATGAAAGCCAAATTCTCAGATTCTCTGTTGAAGGAGCAAAGAGATGCAGAAGGAAATTTGGTTGCTGTGAAAATCAAGTCAACCAGCTTCATTGTCAGATTAGTCCGGTAAAAGCAAACTACCAACTACCAAGAGCATTTATTTGGTCCCTATATTCTAATAAGTTTCTTAATATGGTCCTTAAAATTTCTTCCACTATAATTAGGTGATAGTCTTAAAATTGAGGTAAAATCGAACTTGAACTCATTAGTTCGTTGGAATGCTCTGTCACTCAAAAATAAAAAAATATAACCCATTGTGATGACAACTATCAAAATTAAAATAGCTCGTAAAAAACAAAGAAAGAAAATAAAAATATTATGAATAAAATGCTTTACCCATGAGGGAAAAAAGGCATCATATGATTTGATGTATTGGAGGAAACTAAAATTGGATAATTAATTAGTTTATAGAATTAGATTAACTTTTATATTAAAATTGCAAATTCTCCTTTTTATGACTATCTTAGTGAAATGGATTTATCAAGCACCAACTACTAGTATTAGGTTATCATAATTCACAAAAATAAAAATTTCAATCATTTTTGGATTTTTCACACCAAACAAAACAGGTGAATATAAATTTTCATAAAAACATTTAAAATCAATTTTGAGTCTCTTTCGTGGATTTTCTCTTAAATATATATATATATATATAATCCCACTATACTCATGAAATTATGATGAAATTATAATTCCAGTAATGGAGAAATCTATATTGAAAAATATTTTATTTGAGAATAAAATAAAATAAGGTAACGTAGTAAATTTTTTTTTTTAGTGAAAACATTAGATGTATTATTATAAGGGTAAATTTCAACTTGTCCTCCTAAGGTTTATGTATTTTTCAATTTCACTTAAAATCTTTAATTTATTTCAATTAGATCTTTAATTTGCTTCAATTAAACTTCATATCTTTCATTTTTGTTCTACCCTATGTGAATTGCAATTTCATCTCCAGAGTGTAAGGAACATCTCAATGTAACCCAAAAAGTAAAAATTGAAATTGAGGAAAAAAACAATAAAGAAAGATTGTTTTTTCATCAGTACTATCTAGGAATCCATGAAAATACAAAAATAAAATCAAGCTAAGAACAAATATAATAAAAAATATATTTTTTAATAAAAAGTACTAACCCCAACTCTCGCTTTCTTTTATTGACTTTCTCACTAGCATATCAAATCTATATTTTTTAATCTAATTTTTCGTTAAAATTTTAAATAAGAATTTTGAAAGGAAAAAAAAGAAAAAAGAAATCTCGTATGGATGGAATGGTGGCTTAAGTATATGTCAATTTTGACATCATCTAGAATTATTTGCATCTATCAAATGTGCTATTTGATAATAAAATCAAAGAAAGAAGGGGATGTGAAAGTTGAGAGAGATTAAAAAAATAAATAAACATTTTGACAAAAAAAGAAAATAAAATACAAAGTAAAATTAATTTGAATCTTAATTTTTATTTAACTAGTATTAAAAAATAAAAAAATTATGCTGTCATGTGAGAATTGAATTGGTAGGATTTGAGGATTTCTTAATAAATTAACCCTCTCAAGTTTTATAATATTTGTTTTAATTAAAAAAATATATTTTATTATTTTATTATTTTTAATTTCAACTGGTTTAATGTTTTTTCTTTATGTTTTGAATGATATTGAGTTATTTTATGAATTTAAGGGATGAAATCAAAATTTACACTCCCGATGAAAATGGTTGAAGGGGGAAATTGAAACAAAAGTGAAATATATGAGCTCTAATTAAAACAAATCAAAAGTTTAAGGTAAAATTAGGACAACACATAAATCTCACAGAGGCAGATCGGAATTTATTCTTAATATAATAGTTAAATTTGTGGTATTTCATACATGAATAAGCTATTATATTAACCATACCCAAATATCAATACTAAGGAGAGATGATTCCTTTTCTTTCACATGAAGAATTTATTAAATTCTTCTTAATACATCAGATTGATGTGGATGATGCATTCTTAAAATCGCATGGGGAGAGATTTAATTTCAATTGAAGCATCAGTCGACTCGAGAATATATTTATTGTAGAATAAAAAAAAGGATAAGGTAAGTTGAGATTTACACACATGACAAAAATGGACAAAAAGGAAAATTTTGAACAAAAATGAAAGATGTGAGAGTTGATTGGAACAAAATAAAAGAAGTGGGGGCTGATTTGAATAAAAATAAAAGATATATGGTCTCATTGAAACAAATCAAAAGTTTATGTTGAAGTTCATACAACACATAAACTTCATGGAAGCAAATTAAAATTTACCCTTAATATAATAGTCAAATTTGCGCCGGTTTGAAGAGGATTTAGCTACTAAATTAACCGTGCCAAATTATCAACACTAAGGAGGAACGATTTTTTTTCTTTCACGAAAAGAGTTTATTAAGTTCTTCGAATATATTGGGTCGATATGCAAAGTATATTCTTGAAATCATTTAGAAAAAAAATTCTAGTTCAAAAATCATTTTACTATTGAAAAAAACGGATATAGGCTACTTCAATTCCTTTTTTTTGTATGATTATGGCTCCATAGAAGGGTAATTGATTTTGTTGTAACAAAACAATCAAGGAGAATTAATATGTTAAATACAACACCGAGCATGTGGAACAATTTTTAAAGACTTGATCTATTATTATTTTGTCGGTTACTTAAGAATTTCTATTCACGTGCTAAGTTAATTTGTTACCTAGTCTACTCGCTTGCTTTCCTACTTCTTAGTTGAATTAGTTGAGTCAATAGTTTGTTGCTGAAAAGAAGCAGAATCGGTAGCTAAGTTTGTTGCTTGTACGCCTATATAAGGCTACGTAGTAGGATCAAATAAAATATCTCTCTTTCATAGCATATATTTTGTCTTTGTGTTATATATATATTTGGTCCAAAGGGTTTTCGGTTTTTCATTCGAAGTTGAATTTTCTCTGCTTGTCTACAATTGGCCGATTCATTTCGATGTCGTCAATAAAACAATATAACAAACAACTTTCGAGACACTTCATCCTCAAGCCGTGCCATCCAACTTGAGCTCTATGTAGGTCGGTCTTGAAAGCTTTGGTGTCCGGAGACTCGGTTCTCAATAAATGTGTATGAACGAGTTAGCACAATGAAAGAAAGTAGTTTGGCCCTCGTCCGTTGATCTCATTTGTCCGGTTGAAAATTTAAGCTTTGTGTGGCCGCATCTTTCACATTTCTTATTTATCTCCATGTCTTTCACCTCCATCTTTCCTTCAAAATGTGAGATGCCTAGATCCCTCCTCATATCCTCATAACTAACTTGATAACTTATTTCTCTTTCTCTTACATCTTTTGCACTTTTCTTAAATTTACACAAAGGACATTCAATATACTCGATTGAATATAAGAGCATCATCGTTCCATATATGTCACGGAACATGAAATCACCTCCTCGAGCATGTGCCATCGCTATTCTCCTATCGAGTTGTTTACTTTTTAAGCTAAACAAACCGAGAAGAGGAGTAAAAGCGAGTTGAGAAGGAGACTCTCACTCGTATGCTGAATTTCAAGGAAGTTGAAGGAGGAGGAGGAAGAGAGTAGGGGAGAGACAGAGGAGAGGGCAACACCGAGCACGTGAATAGAAAAAAAAATGGTGTTGAAGGGTAGTGTTAAATACAACACCAAGCACGTGGAACAATTTTTGAAAACTTGGTCTATTATTATTTTGTCGAGTTACTTAAGAATTTCTATTCACGTGCTAAATTAATTTGTTACCTAGTCTACCGCTTGCTTTCCTACTTCTTAGTTGAATTAGTTGAGTCAATAGTCTATTCGCTGAAAAGAAGCGAATCGGTAGCTAAGTTTGTTGATTGTATGCCTATATAAGGCTACGTAGTAGGATCAAATAAAATATCTCTCTTTTATAGCATATATTTTATCCTTATGTTAAATATTTTTTCCTCTCTATTTTCTATAATCGGGTCTTTGTTTTCTACGATACGGTATCGGAGCAAGGATGGGTGATCTTCAAGTCGTTGGAGGAATTAAAAAGCTTAACAATCAAAACTACAATTCTTGGTCCACATGCATGCAATCTTATTTGCAAGGCCAAGATTTGTGGGAAATTGTCAATGGAAGTGAAGTCATACAACCGGGAGTAGAGGATGTAAATGGTATGCTTGCGAAAGCGGAAGATAAAAGTAGGCAAGACGATGTTTGCTTTGAAGACTATGATTGAAGAAGATGTGCTAGAGCACATTCAAAATGCGGAAAATCCCAAAGAAGCATGGGATACATTAGCCACGCTTTTTTCAAAGAAGAATGACATGAGGCTTCAACTTCAGAGAGGACATTATTGTACGCAAGCACAATATGACATGATAATTGCTCGATACTTTCATAAAGTGAAGTCACCGTGTCGCGAACTTTTTGAGTTAGATCCCGAAGCTCCAATCGAGGAAACCGGGATGAAGAGAATAATTATTCATGGTTTGAGACTCGAATCTAAAAGTTTTGTTACTCGTAGTACGGGGATGGCAAAAGGAACCATCACTTGTTGAATTCGAAAATTTGCTTGCTAGCCGGAAGCGTTAGCCAAGCAAATGGGAGGACTTTCGCTGAAGAAAAAGAGGAAGCACTCTACGTCAACAAAAACGAGATGAAATTCTAAGCGACACGGCGTTGGTGGATCTAAAAGGAATGAGGACGAGGCAAAAGCTCATCAAGGCGAAAGGAGCACTTATTTAGGGGAGCCTTGAAGAATTATAGCAATAGCAAAAAGTTTGAAGGAAAGTGTTACAATTGTGGGAAGAAGGGTCATATGGCGAAAATTTGCTCATTCAAGAAAAGGACTATGAAGAGTAATGTTGTTACTTTCAAAAACAAAGATGAATGGGATGTTGAGGCACTCTTTGCTATAGCGAGATAAGGAGTTAGCTCTCACAGCAACAATGATTGAATAGATTGATTATGAGAAAGATTGGATTGTTGACTCGGTCGCTCAAAACATATGATAGGTAATAAGCGTAAGCTCGTAAAATTTATCGGAGTACAAAGGAAGCCGAGTGGTGGTGACAACTAATAATTCCAAGTTACCTATAGCTCACATTGGTAATACGGTAGTCTTTCCTCGATACGGTGCTAATAAGGCATCACTTCAAAATGTCTATCATGTTCCCGGTATGAAGAAAAATCTTTTATTAGTAGTATAATTTACATCTTCGAGCTATTTTGTTCTGTTTGGCCCCCAAGATGTGAAGGTATTTTGCAACCTCGAAGTTATAAGATAGCCGAGTGATGGAGGGACGAAGATAAGAATCAATCTATGTAATGTGAACGAAGCGCATATGTAGACAAGACAAGGAAGAACGAGACGAGCGGACTTATGGCACATGCGGTTAAGTCATGTTAGCTATTCCAAGCTCAATATGATGATAAAAAAATCGATGCTAAAGGGACTTCCTCAACTTGAAATAAAAGCAAACACAATATGTACGGGATGTCGGTATGGGAAAGCACATCAATTGTCTTATGAAAAGTCCAAGTTTCAAGCAAAGGAACCATTAGAGTTAATTCACTCGATGTGTTTAGACTCGTTAAGCAAGTCTCTATCGGTGGGATGAAGTAAATGGTAACTTTTATTGATGACTTTTCGAGGTATGTGTGGGTTCGGCTTGTGAAGGAAAAATATGAAACTTTTTCAAAGTTTAAAGAGACAACGAGGCGAAACTTGTAAGAAAATCTATTGTTTGTGCATCGACAATGGGGAGAGTATATTTCGGATGAGTTTTTTAGTTTCTTATAAAAGTGTCGAATCCATCATCAATTCACATGTGCTAACACTCCACAAAGAAACAACATAGCAGGAAGAAAGAACATACACTCGATTGAAATATGTCGGAGCATGCTTCATGCAAAAAATGTTCTAGGTCGATTTTGGGTAGAAGCAATGAACACCGTAGCTTTTGTGATCAATAGGCTTCCTCAACAAAGGTTATGTTTTGTTTCACCTTTTGAAAAATTATGGAACATGAAACCTACGATTACCTATTTTTTTTGTTTTCGATTGTATATGTATGTATTTGTACCTAATCATTTATGTAGCAAGATTGGTAAAAAGGCCGTTAGATGTATCTTGTGGGATATGACGAGTCAAAGAAAAGGGTGGAGATGTTGTGATCCTATAACTAGAAAACGCTACACATCCAGGAATGTCGTGTTTGACAAAACGTCTTTTTGGTGGTCTTTAGAAAAGAAAATGTTACCGGACTCGAATGACTTTTAAGATGAGTTAAAATCTACTTAGATCCAATCGAGTTTAGGAAAAAATAAAGATGTCGATGATAATGATCATGTTGAAGAAGGCTTAGTTCAAGGTCCTTGGAAAGCTGGTGTGTATCAACAACTAGACAAAGAGGATGAGCCGAGTGAAGTAGAAGCATCAACTCCATTTAGATAATCAACAAGAGTCGAAAGCTAAATTCCAAATATGCCAATGCCACTATATAGTGGAAGAAGTAGATGCAAAAGAACCGGACACATTTGAGGAAGCATTTCGGGATCCGGAATGGACTAAAGCCATGGAAGAAGAAATTGCTCGCACTAGAACGAAATCGGACTTAAGAGATTGTGCTAAAGCTAGGAGATGTAAAACCTATTTCTTACAAATGGGTTTATAAAATAAAGCATTGCACGGATGGTTCGATTGAAAAACACAAGGCTCGTCCGGTAGCTCGAGGGTTCTCTCAACAATATGGATTAGACTATGATGAAACGTTTAGTCCAATTGCAAAGCTTACAAGTGTACGAGTCTTTCTAGCACTTGCGGCTAGTAAAGGCTGGAACTTGTGGCGGATGGATGTAAAGAATGCATTTCGCATGGAGAATTGGATCGGGAGATCTACATGACTCAACCTATGGGTTTTCATAATCAAGATCATCCGAAACAAATGTTTTCATGAAGAAAGGGTAAACATATCCAATTATTGACACCGATTGAAGGAATCTCCAAAAATGAATCAATGAATTAGAATTGTTAGCTCCAAAAGAGAAGATGTAATTAATTAATAGTAATCTCAATTCTCAAACTTAGATTCATAATACTATGAAGTAAATGGCAATCGAGCCATGTTATAACAAATTTTTAGTAAAAAATGTCGAGGGTGTTAATGTAAAATTTTTATTCATGCATTGATTTTCAAGATTGGTGAGTCTTGTGCAGGGAAGAATTATTATAAAAAAATTGAATTTATTTATTTTTCTTGAATTGAAGTGTACAAGCATATGATCTTACAATTAATTACTCAAAGACGTAGCACATCATGCACATAGGATCCCATTTTCTAAATTTGTCAATTGTATTCCTTAGAGAGAATTAATCAATGAAAAATGATTAAGAATAATAAAGAAATTTAATCAACACACTTTCCAAGCTACAAGAACATAATTATTGAGAGAATAAGTACTAAGAGTGCTAGAAGACAAAGATAAAGGACTACTGCTATAACACTATGATCCCTCCTGTCAACATACAGATAGAAGAGCTATGGCTGTCTTTCTTCTCTCTTGATTAACATGTCACAAGAGACAACCTTATTCTCCTCCAAAGCAGATTTTGTCAATGCAAGACAACCATATACGTATTAATGCCTTGTAAGTTTTTAACAAATTTACTTGAATTTCGCTTGAGGCCGAGGGTCAGGGACTCGGGACTAACGGAGTTGCAATGGTGGTGAAAAATACAATAGCAGCAAGGAATATTGCAACTTTCTCCAATACTTTGGATATGTCAGGAAACTTTTTGCTCATTAACTGTGAAACAAAAAGGGAAACAAAGGTGAGTAGGACGGAAAAAGAACGCAAATAGATGGGAATAGAGAGTTTGGAATGCTGAGTTGTTTCGTATCGGAGGGCAATTTGAATTGCTGCTTCGAAACAGAATGCCATGATTATGTTAGGCCACTCTAGAGTGATCTGCTTAACAATGACCATATTGATCTGTTGTGGATTGATGGCAGGGGAAGGTGTTCGTTGCGTTGGAGGTACTAATTGGAGCTCTGTTTCCATAGGTTGAGGCGGTGTCTGTGCTGCTTGCAACAATATTCCTTGGTTAAGGGTCAGAGAGGGTTGTGCTTGTGTTTCGAGCAACTGGGATTCAAGGTCAATGGCAGGAGAGGAAGGGGGCGTATGTGATGGATGTAATAGTTGAAGCGGTGGTTGCAACATTTCCGGGGCTATGGTATCAGAATGCAGAGGTTGGGTTTCTGGGTTTTGAGATATTTGCCTAATGGTAACAGGGGATGGTGAATATGACTCTGTTTCTGGTGACTGCGATTCGAGGTCGAAGGCCGGAGGAGGAGGAGGGGTATTTGATGATTGTGAGGGTAGTAGGTATGTTACTCTGTCCCAGACTACGATAAAAAATGCTGTAAATGAAAGAAAAAAATGGTTGATGTTTTGTGTAATGCC